TTCCCTGTCTTTTATCTCCCAGAATTTTCCTATCAGTACAAAGGGAAAAATGGGATGAGTTTCACAAAGAGGGCAGGGGTCCTACACCTACAGTAATGCCCTGGGCTTTTTTTTCAAGAGAAGGAAAGCTTTCTACAATCCAGAAAGGTGTAAATTTACAAAGCCTGCTCATACTGTATGCTGCTTGGAGAAATGGACAGGCACCAGTGGATTTTGAGACCAGGCCAGCTACACACAGCCAGATGCTGTGTCATCAGGAAAAAAAAGGCAAGAAAATAATGCTTCCCATCCATTATTTAATGGGGTGTAAAAGATGATGAGAGAGATTTTACAGATGAGAAGAGATTTTAACATTCAAGCCCAAGGAAAGGTGCAAGGGGAAGTAAAATCCAATTGATACTGGAACAGCATAAAGAATGAGGGATTTAGGGTAGCACCTATAAGAAAAGTGCATGTAATACTGGGCCCAAAATGTCACAGGAGATGGTGGAGTTTCTGCAGAGATGATTAAAATATTGCAGCAAAAAGCTGCAGTGAACAGCAACAGGTGAACTTAAAATGTGAAGAATAAAAAAAAAGGAAGTAGAGGAAGTGCACAGAGAACTTGCTAAACACACACACACACAAAAGGTGTTTCAGACAAGTAAATAAGCAGCAGAACAAATCAGCTTAGTACATGACATTGAAGTTTGGGAACAGCTGTTACTCATGTTCATTTGCTCATGGTTAGCACATGTAATAACTTAGCTGAATGATCCAGCTCTGTGGCAAGAAGAACCCCAGCAGGATGTGTCATCCAGCTTAGTTATAAACACAGCGATAATTTAAAAATTGTTACAAAGGCTGCATTTTCTCATTTAGCAGCAGAGCTGATTGAGCTGCCCTTATCTCCCTGCTCATTCCAGCCCCATCCCTTCCCCTGATTATGCTGGTACAGCTCCTGTGCAGCCATGCAGCAATCAGGAGGGGGGATGATCCAGGTGAAAATGAAGCAGGCTCCACACCTCTCAAACAGCTGAACCATTTCCCCAGGCAGTATCCCAAGGATTTGTGAGAGTGCAATGGAAAAGACATGGAAGATGCTTTGGCTAGTATTATTACCAAAAAATGCTGTGAGGAACTATGCTTTCAGTTCATCAGCCAGGAGATAAGCTTCAAGAATTCCCACATTTCTTAGGCTATCTGTTCTTTTGTAAGTTTGGAAATCTATCTGAAAAAGTTTCTGCCTAAAGAGGAAAATACAACCCAGCTTTAGTTCTGCCATGTGCAGGGAAAAGGAGTTTTCATGATAACCTCACTGACTAAACAGGCTATCACTGAACACTTAGAAGATTAGAGATTTTTACAAATCACTTTAACTCTCCCCTCTAAAAAGTGTGAAAGCATTAAGAACAGAGATTTTTACTTCAGTTTCCTGAACCAACATAGGTTCAAAATAGTTCACTGTAAGGCTTCCTGCAACTGTGTCTCAAGTAGCTAGTGTAGTCTGTCAGAGAACAACTGAAACGTAACAAAATCCAGAAAAGCAATTGGCAGGACACTCCTATCTTCAGAACTATTTTTCCATCTTTCACCTAATAGTCTTTTTTTAAACAAAATATCAACTCTCATAATATTCTTAGGACAAAAACAGGAATGCTTATTATCTTAGTATAATATCCTGTACCTCTCAGCACTCTACTCAACAATCACTGCAAGTAACTAACAAGTATCAGTGCTGCTTTAAACTTGTGTGTATGTACATGTTAGGTAAACATATACATGCATCCAAACAGGAACAGAATGTTTGGATACATCCTCTAAATTCTTTATCCTCTCACCCTAAAGTGGCTTTTCCAAAACTGTGTTTTCTATTCTTTCCACTTGACACATAATACTATAAATCCAGCACTGCCAGACAAAAACAGCAGCAGAGAATTCTTGTCTGTTTTTGAGTGCTGCTTTTACCTGAAAGGTCAACTTGAGCCTGGCACATTTTCACCTCCTGTGCAGCTGACAAGGCTGTTTCAAAAATATGGAAAGCTGGAAGGTGTTGTATTTGTTCTCACTCACCTTTTTTAATTGCAGTGATCTAAAAGCTTTGAAGAACAAAATAGGTATTAATGCCTCCATTCTGGGAGATGTACATAGATGATTAATGGCAGGCTGCTCAGGTTTTCACAATCACTATGAAATATGACCTCAGACTGCAGATGAGGCAACACAATTTTTGGTTCAGTAAAAAAAATAAATCACTGCCTTATCAGGAACTTCAGCTGTATGCAGGTAGGTAGCAGAGAGAGCTCAAAGGAAATTGGGTAGGGCTGTTTCTGTAGATGAGGATTGCTGCCACATCCCATAAAACTAACTTTAGTCAGATTAATGGCAGAAAGCTAACACGGCCTTCTCACTGCACAAAAGCCTTGAGAGGTGTGGCATGAGTAACTGATCTCCACTTGCTTCCAGAGATCCAAAAATAGAGGTGAAGTGTGAATATCCCATTTGTTTCAAAACGGTGCCAAGAGAAATTCCCAGTTGGGGCCTTGTCTCCTATCAAAATATGAACCTACAGAGCTGTAGCTGCACTTAGGCAAGAAGAGGCTGCTTCTCACTGCAGCAGAACAGCTACTCTGCAGAGTAACATCTACAGGAGATTTTGTATAGCAAGAGCTGTGCTGGTGCAGGTTTCCAAGAAACAGCCAGATAAATGATTTGACAGTCTAAATGAGATGTTTCTAAATGCTCTGTATCAGCAAACCCCTCTACCCTTTTTAGACTTTTGGGGAGTTTTTTGTGTTGGATTTTTTGTTTGTTTGACTGGTTCTTTACCTTTTTTACCCAGAGTAGTAGACACACATATCACCAAACCTATGAGAAAACAAATAAAATAGATGCAGACTGTTCAGTGCAGATCCAAACACCATATTGAGAGCACCAATCTGAATACTGGTGTTCTCTTAATTAAAGCATTAAAAATGATTACACTCTTCTTTGCTACATGCAACCATTTCATTTTGGGTTACATGTAAGTGATGCTTAGCAAATGCACAACCACTTCTCTGTTCCCTTTTCTTCCTGACCTGTGAGGGGACAAAGCTGATGAGGAAATGCAGAGATCTGTGTTTCAAGACATGGATCTGAGAGTCTTCCACTCTATTATGAAACTGAATGAGATTTTTTTCTAAAACTACAAAAAACAACAAGCAAGGATTTTCTGTCCCATTTCTGTATTTACAATGTAGTGCGTATTCCATCAAACCAAGAATGAATGAAATACACCAACAATTGCACTCTCTTTAATCACTATCAACAGCTACATTGCTTACTGAAGTCCTCAGATGTCTATTAATCACTTTAAAGTTTAGAAACCCTCTTCTCGTGTTGGTATTACACAGTGAAGTGATGTAGAGCATCTTTGGCCTTCATTTCAAAAGAAGTGGTGGAAGTGAGAGAAAACAGAAATTCACATACAAGGAAGTATACATGTGAAGTACAAATATCCATTTCGAACAAAACCTATTTCAGTGACTTCATATTTTACTGTATAAATCCACATTTGTTGATACAAGGAAGAAAGGAGGCAAGCAGAGTCTCAAAATTCCTGTATTCTAAAATCATGTTTAGTGGTGGTCAGCATGGGACTAAACAGGGATACATGATATTTCTAAGAAGTCTCTGGTCTTTTATTTAAGAAATAGGAAACATGTTTCTAACCCCAGGGAGGGGAAAAAAATAAGACAGGTGTTATTCCAGAAGCAGATTGTGAGCTGGCATTCCAATATTTAAGAGAAAGAAACAAAAATTTTAAAAATGTTTCATGAAAAAAAAAATCATATGACCATGTAAAACTTTTTATCCCTGTATACATTTAAGAGATGTAACAACCTTTGCTTAAAAAGTCTGCCAGGTTGTTTTTGCTTAATACTGTAACACAAAAAACTGCAGATATCCAGGATTTGAAAGTAGAACAAAGTAAAAACACAGTCTTCCATTCTAGCAAAAAAAGAGAGAAAAAGCCCCCCAGCTGCAGCGAGGCCAGGCTGGTGTAAGGTGGAAAAAGGCATTTGAACTGACATTTGCTACTAAAGCTGGGATAGAGATCAAATCCTGTTCGCTGTGCAGCACCCAAGTCTGTGGAAAACTGGCAAAAGCAAATCCCAAACCGAGATTTACCAGCCGCAGCCCGACTCAAGTTCACTTTGGGTTAAAAATACTACCGGGGAGCAGCAGCGCGGCAGGAGGGAACCGTATCCCTGTTACGTGACCTGCGCGCCGGCTCGGGCTGCGCCCGCGGTGCCGCCCGGAGCGCGGTGTTGGGTGACCGGCACCTCTGCTCGGCGCGGCCTCCCGGAGACGGAGTCACAGCGAGCCACCGGACCGAGCGCTGCCCCGGCTTCCGAGCACAGATTTTATTAAAAGCTTCTCGTTACAGAGCCGGGGAGCGCCCCACGCACTCGTGTCCATCACGGCGGGAGTCTGTTTGTTTATCCGTGCGGCGCGCTCGGGGCGCCGGGGAAGCGGAACTCCGGCGGGCGCGGGGGCCGCGGCGGCCCCGCGGGAGGGACCCCGGAGCCCGGCGGGGCCGGGGGCGGCAGCGGGGGAGCGAAAGCCGGAGCGCACACGGCGGGGAGGGGGCGCGGGCGGGACCGCGGCCGCCCCCCGCCGCCGCCGCCGCTCCCCCTCGTCGTCGTCCTCCGCCGCCTCCTCCGGGGGCCGGGGGGCGCGGCGCCCCTTCCCCGCCGCGCTGAGCGCCGCCGCTGGCTGCCGACAGAGCCGCCGCCGCCCGGCCGTGGCGGCCGCCGCCGGGCCGGCTCCCATCCGCCATTATCCTTTGTTCGCGGCGCGGCGGCGGCGGGGATGTTGCAGGGCTCGGCTCCATCTTTAAGGCGGGCGCCCCTCCCGCGGGCGGTGCGCGGCCGGGCCCCCGCGTCCTGCCGCCCGGCGGCTCCCCTGGTCCCCGCCGAGCTCCATTTCCTTCCCTCCCCCCCGCCCCTGTTTGCTGGGCGCCGTCCTCCTCTTACCGGTTACCAGGCTGCTCCGTCACTGCTTTCGTTCGCGCCTGGGATCTCGCCGCAGTTTTATTCTCTCCCCCACGTAACACACCGCGTCAAACTACACCTCCGCCGCGTCACTCACACACACAGGCGCTCCCAGCCCGGCGACAGGCAGGCAGCGGCCGACTGAGGAGCGCCAGCCAGGGAGCAAGCGCCGAGCGCGCCCGGCCCCGCACGGAAACCGCCGAGCGCTCACGGAAAGCGCCGAGCGCCCGCCAGGCGGCGGGAACGGCCGAGCGCGCCGCCGGCCCCCGCGGAAAGAGCCGAGCGGCCGCGGAAACGAACGAAGCGCCCCGGAGGGGGAGGCGGAAAGAGCCGAGCGGGCGGCGGGAAGGCGCGAGCGGCGCTTCCGCCCCGGGGCGGCCCGCGCGGGAAGCACCGAGCGGGGCTGCGGGGGGGGGGGAGGGGGAGCGCGCGCTCACCCCCCCGCTCCCCCCGCCCCGCCGTGCGCGCGGCCGAGGCGGCCGGAAACTCGCGAGCGCTCACGGAAGCGGCCGAGGGGCGGCGGAGGCCTCAGCCTCAGAGCGGAGTCACCGAATCCATCAGGTTGGAACAGACCTGCGAGATCGCCGAGTCTCGCCTGTGACTGAACACCATCATGCCAACTAGATCATGGCACTGAATGTTTAAGTTCTTAAACACCTCCCGGAACGGTGGCTCCACCACCTCCCTGGGCAGCCCATTCCAATATCTAATCGCTCTGTGTGAAAACTACTCCCTGATGTCCTGCCTAAACCTCCCCAGGCTCAGCTTAAGAATGTGTCCCCTTGTCCTGTTGTTGGTTGCTTTCCTGGGAAAGGAACCGACCCTCGTGGCTACACCCTCTGTTCAGGCTGTGCTGAGAGCGAGAAGGTCCCCCCGAGCCGCCTTTTCTCCAGGCTAGACCCCCCTCCCTCGGCCCCTCCTCACAGGAATTGTGCTCCAGCCTCTTCACCAGCTCCACTGCCCTTCTCTGGACACACTCCAGCACCTCAAAGCCTTTCCCGAACAGAAGGGCCCAGAACTGGACACAGCTTTCAAGGAGTGGCCTTATCCGTGCCAAGTACAGGGGGACAATCACTGCCCTGGTCCTGCTGGGCACACAATTCCAGGTACAGGTCAGGATGCCACTGGCCTCCATGGCCACCTGGGGACACTCTGGCTCATATTCAGCAGCTGTCAACCAGTGTCCCGGGTACTTTTCTGCTGAGCTGCTTCCCAGCCACTCTGCCCCAGCGCATAGAGCTGCACAGGTTTGTTGTGACCCAAGTGCAGGACCTGGCACTTAGTCTTGTTGAACCTCATGCCACTTGTCACCACTGTTCCACCCTGCCCAGATTACTCTGCAAAGCCTTCCAGCACTTCAGCGGATCAGCACTCTCACCCAGCTTGGTGTTGTCTGCTAATTTGCTAATGGTAGACTCGAGCCCTCACCCAGATCATCAGTAGGGATATTGAATTGAACTGGCCATATGCTATCCTTGGGGACACCACTGGTGACTGGATCCCAGCTGGATGCAGCACTGTTCACCACCACTCTCTGGGCCTACCCATCCAGCCAGCTGTTAGCCCAGTGAGGAGTGCACCTGTCCCCATCATGGGCTGCCAGCTCTTCCAGGAGTATGCCATGGGAGATGGTATCAAAGGACCAGGCTGATGCCATGGGGGACCTGCTACCCCCAGCTCTGCAGGGCTCTATCCCTCCATGGGCACCCCCTCCCTGTGTGCCCCACTGCTGGGGCCGCTGCCCAGACCCCCTTCCTCAGCCCCCAGTGCCACCCCAAGACCCAACCACCCCCTCCCTTTGCAGGCACCATATGGCAGGTGAGGTGCCATAGCCAAGCCATGCTGCCCCTCAATGCACCTCGGCTTCCTGGTGTCCCTACTGTGCCCTCCCTGTGTGGTCCTTCAGGTTATTCCTCTAAACTTTCCTCTGCTGCCTTGTTTTTACTCCAGCCTATGACTCCCATCCTGCTGCCTGCCCTCTCTGGCCCTGTGGCCAGCCCTTGTAGCCCAAAACCAGGCACAGGGTGACTGCTGCTCCACCACGACACAATATCCCCATGGAAAACCCCAGCCCTGATCCACTGCCCCCACCAGTGCTGGAGGTGGCAGAGGTGTGGCCACCAGGCACCTAAGCTATCAAACCACTACCCAGTTCAGAGTAACTAGGGGCAAGGTGGGGTTTGCACACATGGCACCAGCTCCCTGCATTGCCAGCTCTCCCTCAGGAGGGACAGAAGTTGGCAGCACAGGGCAGAGCACCTGTGTGTTTGTGCCTTGCCAAAGAGGAGCAGCCATGTGCTGTGGTCCTCAATCTCATCTGCAGCCCCAGTGTGATGTCTGTCACTGGGGCTTTTAAATGCTGGATAGGTGAAATGTTTCTGGGAAAGGTTTCAAAGAGCTGCTGCCACCAGGGAGCAGGGAAAGACCCAGCGGTGCTCCAGCCAGGTGAGTTCCCCTCTTCTGTTCACAAATCCGGCTGAATGCACTCAATCATACGCCCTGAAGAATGGACTGCTCCAACTACAACCAACGATAAAAACTGTCTGTACTCAGAAAAGCTGCTTTTCATTTCCCAAGGCCTCAAGATGGCACTACATAACAAGATTTGAAGCTCCAAAGCCGGTTCATTTTTGCAGCTGGCCCAGCACGACACTGCTGCCAGGTGCACTGTATGACATGGCATTGCTGTGCCATTTAGTTCAGCTCGTCTCCAGTCTCATTTTCTCTAAAAGGTTGAACTGATTTTACTTTGCTGAGTTTCATCTAATTCCCCCCAAAATTACAAGAGATGGTGCAAGGAGCAATAACAGCTGTACTTTGCCTTAGATTTTGTTGATTACAGTTATTCTAAAACAAACCATTGATATTTAAAAACAAAAAAAGGCATCTCAGGTTAAACAGCTAAAACATTGTTTCATTGCCAATGCGTGCTATGGCTTGGGCCACAGGTCATTTTCTGTTTCTTCTGCACTTTTTCCCTCTGCCCTGCCTGCAGACAGGAGCTCCAAGGTTTCAGGGCAGCATTGCCCTGGCTGCCATCAGTTTTTGCTCCAGCTGTTGTAGACCTCTGCTGTGCCTTTGGCTCATGCCCATCCCTGTCTGCAGTGTATGGCTGACATAACTTTTGGAAATTATTTTTCCTTTTTAGAGTCTGCTAGGATGTGAAAATCTCCATGCACTAAATAGGTCTTTTACAACTCCTTTTGGGAGCAGAATGTTTCTTCCACTTAAAGCTTTTGAGACAAGCAAGAAATCTAAACTCAATGTTCTTGATTTGGTCCATTCATTGGCGGTGAATGGAAATGCTTCTCCCTCCGAATCACCATTAGAGGTGAAAAAGGCTTGTCTTACCATCACATCCTTCTCATTTCACAGGATACTGAGGTAGAGGGCTCTTTTTGAGTGTTTTGACATTTGAACTCTAGCCCCATTGCTCAGTTTAATATTTTAATGTGTGTTTAATAAAGTATCCTCTCTGCATTTTGTTATCATATACAGATGTAAATTAAACTAGATAATTAAAAATATGTTTTAATTAGTCTCAAACATGAACATTTTTACATTTTGCTAGAACTTCTGCATTTCCAGAATTGATTCCAAGATCAAAGTAAAGGATTCAGCCTTTGTGCTCCTTTTATTAATAAAGTCCTTTGTGTGAGAAAATATTTATTATGAGCAGAACAAATATAGCCATCTGAGTGTCTCTTGTTTGACTCATGGATTTCTTCAGCTGTTTTCTCATCCTTCTCTGTGCCCTTTATGTTAATGTTTGTATTTTATCAGCTTTCTTTGCTCACACGAGTGACAAAAATCACGCATTTACCACCCATACATGTTTCCCAGAAACTGAATTTCTTGCCCCTGTGCAGCAAGCCTAGAGAATCACAGCAATCAGAATTTAAGTGAATAAATTCTGGTCCTTGGAAGGCAAATAAAGTGTAATAACCAGATCTCAGCATAAGGCTCCCATCAGAAACCTGGGCAACACTCCCAGCCTGAGTGATGGGAGTGCCACTGGTGTTTCTCCAGACCAGGCAGGGCTGCCTTTATGCAGCTGCACAGCTCCATGCGTGCCCCTGATCCTGCTGCCCCTTTGGGGCCGATGGCACCCTGCTGACTCTGCCAGTCCTGCTCTCACAGCCCCCCTGGCAGCTCCTCAGCACTTTTCTGAGAGTCTGCCAGCCCACTGATGAGTTTGCACAGGGCATCTTGAGCAGTGGCTATGTCTCTGCCAGACAGTGTAGGCTCCCCATATAACAGCTCGAGAGAGCAATTGATGTCAAACTAAAACAAATGCCTCCAATAGGCCAGGTGCCTGAAGGGTGTTAAGATTACACCCAGTGTTGTGTATCTCCATCTCTTGCACCGTCACAGAGGCTTAAACCATGGATGGATGTGAGCTGGATTCATGCTTACTTCATACTGGCTCGGTGGCAGGGCTGTGTGATCTCACACAGCTGCTGTGGAACCTTCTCACAGCTGTTTTGCACATTCCTCATTCCCTTCTGAGCAAAATCGGGGCACTAAGCAAACTTGGAACTTCTTTGGGAGAGGGAACAAAAGTCTGAGTTGCAAAACCCCCTATCTCACTGACATTGACACCTTCCTTTCACGGATGCCTCTTGGGGAATGTGTAGAAAATAGGATAGGAACGATGTGCCAATTACCTACGGAGTCCAGCAGGGAGAGGCTGACTTGGAGAGTGAATTGGAATGCTCAGCAGTTTTCTTCTTCATCAGCAAAAGTTTGCTCGACGATGAGTGAAACCCAGCAAGATTAATTACTTTTCTTACAATTAAGCCTCAGAGGCAAATTCATTAGTTTTCAGCTTCCAGGTTGGTTACCCTGGGCAGCAGACTCCTTGCACGCAGCATTACAATTGATGGCCCATGGCCCAGGGTCCACAGAGGCTAAGGAGTGACACGGAGCTCAAGAAAGGCTTGTGCTTGGCTCTCTGGTGTGCCAGAGTCACAATGCACATGATGTCGTCTGGAGCAGTCAGTGCTGCTGCACTGGCAGCATGAAAGACAATAATTACTGTGGAAACACAGAAGCACATCTGGTTTTAGTCTACATACAGCTGTAAAGACAGCAACACAAAAGTA